TGGGGAGCACTGCACTAAGGCACAGCACTACACCTCCGGAACACTCACATGAATTCATAGAATTGCCTGGATACCGCGAGAACTGTACGAGTCGAAAACTTGCTATACCGTAGCGAAACATGGCAAGAAAAACTATGAACAGATAGCACGGGGGCACGAGCCAGCCCGTGACACCTCGGTCGATGCCCCGAGACCGACTGCTTTGACAATAGCCAAATCCGAGAACTAATCATTCTGATTGGTCGAGAGCCTTATAACCGATAACTCTTCTATCTCCTTCGAGTTGTCCCTTTAAACCAAATCGAGAGCGTTCCTTAATGAATCGGTACGTATCATCTGGAGATCCTCCACGGCCGCTTCCCCAGGGCATCGGGCGACAGCTGGGCACCACATCTTTAACTCGGGCAGGAGGTTCCTCTCCTGCCCTTAACCGTGTCATAACTACCTCCGCCCGCTCTACAGCCCTTTGCCCATCTCCAGCGGGGCGCCGGTATTTCATCCGGGCTTCTGCCGGTCCGTGGAGACGTCTCCATCCGGTCTTCTCCTCTACGTACGTCGAGACTATCTCCCCACGGGAGATTTGAGCACCTCGACCTTATCTAAACAATGACGAAATCTTACGAGAGCCTTGACATAACTATACGAATCAACCCGAAAGCGTAGCTTCTGAGCAGGGTGGCGACCCGAAGGGAACCAGAAATCGAGAACGTTATCTGTATCGGTAACCGGAGCCGCCTTGGGACCGTGATTTGAAAAATCACGTCACAAAGCTTAATAACAAACATATACTTTAGGATACTATTAGTACATTCAAAGTAAGTACGTTGGAATTCCTGGCACGTTCCTGCCAAGTAGTACTCAATAAGGTATCACCTAAAGTTTTATTAATTATTAAATGACCATTAAATCATAATCAACTACGGGAAACAGTAGTAATGTGAAAGATTATCGGAAACATTGTAGGAAATTTTGAAAATACAATCAAATACAATCACTGAACCAAGTTAAATATCAGAGACGTAAAAGTTAAATAAATAATTCCAACTATCTTAATTATAAGAACTGTGGTAGCCATTTTTAATGTAAAATAATTAACGTATACATATTTCTTGAATTTTTACCGTTCAGAAGCCTCAATTTATGACGTCAAATTAACACAGCAAATATATCTGTATTGTACTATTTAGGTTATTTTCATTGCGTATATGCCAGAAACGGGACGATCGGTCATTTAGAAATTTTCCACGCACAAAGATTATGTTCCTGTCAAGAACATAACAAAATTTCAGATCGGTTAGCTGGATTTGTTTTGATAGCCGTATTTCCTTAAGTGAATTTATGTTTATTATTATATTTTTTATGTAAGGAATATAAATATTTTTCTTCAACAAAAAAACTTCGAAAACGGGCAATTGGTGAAATGTGGAGGATTGAAAAATTGAATATTTCAATAAAATCAGATCAAATCAACATTTCGAACAACTGTAATTTTGATTTTGAAAAAAGATGTGAAACAATCTACGTTGCATTATTAAATTTAAAAAAAATGCACTTTTCAGAATACGATTTGCATTGTGATTTGTCATTAATTGTAACATTTATTATTTGATGCATTACGCCAGAGTCATTTTAAATGTGCATTCTCAAGAAGTTTCAATATAATCTTTGCATAACTTTTAAATCGTGGTTATGATTATTTCAGGGGGGCTTTGCCCCCCTCCCCGATCCCCTCACCGGGGGCTTTGCCACCGGACCACGACCAGATCTCCGTCCTGGACTCGGCGGGAACTTCGTCCCCTGAACCCCTTTCCACCTCTGTGAACGCGTTGCTCGAATTACCGAACTAATCTACTGATTTGCACCGACCTAAGAATCATCCGTTACGTGGAAAATGGCGTTCTCTCCGCTGTTGAAGAAAATTGTATGCGAACCTCGAGAAAAAACAGGCGTTTGCGCCCGTTTTCGCTCTCGGTGCACAATATACTATTTTTATTTTATTATTTCATTGTGTAATTATAGTCGAACTAATTTGATCTAATACATCGTAGTGTTGTAGAACATCTTCACATACTGAAGTATAAACGTGAGTGCCCAATATTGCGCAGTAGTTGTTGGAAGAACTTATGTTACTTTTTTATATTTGACAATTTAAAGTAATAGATTGTTACATGTTTTTTTTTAACATGGCTATACCATTGGAAAATTAAGAAAATGGTCACAGCACATTCAAAATTGGAATTCTTTCTCTTTTTATATTAAAAAAACACGTTTCATAATTTCTTTATTTTCTCCTCTCTCAATAATTCAATTATTACGGTAGATTTTCTTGGCTTACTTTTTTTGTAGTTTACTCCTTTATCTGTATAAAAAGTTAATCTATAGTTTTAAATATATCTTGTTTTCTCAAGTTTGATAACCGGAGCGGAAATAACGTGGCAGAGAAATGGGTATTAATAATAAATATAATATAATAAATAAAATCAATGGGTCCCGTTGTGCAGTTTGTATATCTAAAATAGGATTGTGCAGGTTCAGGGTTAATGTGGTCCTAATGATTTGATAATCCTTGATAATTTGATAATAATGATAATCCTATTTGACGAAGTTCAGAATTTTTTAATTTTGAAAAAAAATACACGAAAATGTTTAGCAAAGTTTTGCGTGAAATGCTGTGCAATATTGAAACTATAAGTTTTGTTGGCGAATTGCAAATGCGCGCATTCTGCCTTTGTAAGTTTTAATGTAATTTCGTACGAGGAGTGAACTTCGTGATGGAAGGGCAGGAGAGGGAAGGATTGGAAGCGCTTTAATGTAAAACTTTCCATCAACCTTTGATGATCTCTACTTTGATGAAATTACGTTTCAGAAAGTGGTGCATCCCGTGACATCTGCCGATGAGAACGATGGAGAATCAAGATGGTAAAGGAGAATCTACTTCGAGATAGAATTCTTGGTGAGGTGATTCAAGACACTCAATACGAATTAGTCAATGTCAAACTGAAATACGAAGCTACGCAATCCGTAAACCTCAAAGAAATGTCATCTCATGTCGGTTTTGCTGAGTGATTTTGGGAGCGATTATTCAAACGAAAGGGTTCAAGTATTCGCGAGATGAAGCCAATTTATCTATTCGTAATTGGCTCGGCTTTAGGGCTTGTAGCGTACGGGTTTGGAATATCTCAGGGAAGCACAGTGATGCGTGCCGGAAGTGGTATAAAGATTGGTACCAATGAACGTGGTACGGGTTCGCGAGGTTCTCGGACTGGAACTGTTAGAGGAAATTCAGGAGTGCGGATTGGGGAGGGGAGAATTCACAATTCTACCAGGCAGAGAATTATTCCATCAACCCCAGTTCCACCGCCACCTCAATTATTCACTCACGCTCCGGCAGCAGTCCACAGTGACAGTCAGAACATCACCTACCTCAAGGTAAGTTGGTTTAATCATTCCTTATATCACGTAGTGTTTAATTTGTAAATCAAGTTTATCGTTGCTACATTCACGTTTTTCGAATGTCAAAATTCACCAACTTTTCTCCTACAGTCAGTGACTGGAAAATAAAATCTGAATCTGTAAGCCCCGTGGAATGCAAGTTTCTTCTTTACTTTTCATATATGCATCTTCGTAAACGGAAAGTTGAAAATCTTTGCAGCGACTTTTATGATATTTATTCCATTCCCACGCGGAACAGTTTCAACTACTGTTTCATTTGTTATAGAACTTCTCACTTCTATTGGTTAATAATCCAGCAAAAGTCTTAGGCCAAACGGTATCCTTATATGCATTGTTTAGTCGTCTCAAAGCAAATCTAGAGTTTCACGAAAATCGATTTCTGTAACAGGTGGGTATGATGGTTCCCTATAAGTCCTTTGGCGTGAGAGAATACACGAAAGCAGTGACCACAGCATTGAACAATCTCCAAAAGAGTACAAGGGGCCCCAGATTGGGATTGTTTCAGCGTTATGACATCCATGTGCGCATCGATATGATGGAGCTCACTCCAAGTCCGACGGGTAAGTCAACGGTCCACTTTTTCATTCTATCGTTACTCCAGAAAGGGGTGGCTATGTGCGTGTGCGCTAGCACAAATGTCTATGTCCCAAGTTCAGGACAGATCTTTAAACCAATGCGACTGATGTTTACAGGTGAAATTAAGTTTTGGATGAAGACAAGACATAACTATTATATTAAAAAATATTTAAGTATATTATATCCGATTTTAATCATTATAGATGCGAAGCAAAATTTTTGGCAGTAATGAAAGTACGAGATGCTATCGCATATTTGATGTGATCCTGCCTTGTGGTAAATTTTTCCTGTGATCATTTAATTAATTAACACACGTTTTAATAGAGTTATAACAGTTTGAGAATCTCGAAGTATTGAAAAACTGTTATAGTCTACAATATATCCTGATATCAACGTTAAATATTTATTGACTTATTGGGAAATGTATGTTATGTCGTAAATTATACTAATTTGTTATACACATACTGTAATATGGTGTCCCGGGTTATGTTTAGTATGCGGGGCAAGAGAAAAAATTAACAATCCCACTCTCTGAAGGGACGCAGGCTGGGGTCATATGAGGTGTTCTTACTCAATAGAGATGGAGCCGGCGATTGAGGTCGCAGGTCAGATCGACAATAATACCCCACTTTGGTGATGGGTTTAATTGTTCTATCCGACGATCGAAGTTGCTGAGGAAGCATGGTTTTATCCACAGTGAGACGCCAATGAGTAGAGCGTCGAGAAGTTAGTTTCTCACAAAATTCCGAAGCCAGCCTCATGCAGAAACAGATGTTTAATACAGATTAATGATTTATTTATAACAATTTCAAAAGTCTCTAACCGCATTCGTAAATTTTAACTTCAATTTTTGGAAACAATTGAGTAGATTAGAATTTGAAATGTGTAATAAGAGGACTAGGACTATTGCGTTCCTTCAATTTTTTTTGTGACTTTGAGAATGAGTTAATTGTACAATTATTCCTTGGTTTAGAATTATTTGAAAATTTCCTATTAAAGGAAAAACTGAAGTCAAATCGAAATGCAGTCGGAGATGTTAACAAAATATCCAAGATACTGGATAATTCTCGATTATTTTTTTACTATGGACCCTGGAATATGTTGCTATTTTATGTCAGCCGCAATCAGGAATTTCGGACATGTCTTGGAGAAATATAAAAAACTCGAGAAGGGAATCAAATCTCTAGGAAATGATTCGATGTATAGAACATTCTTGCAGGAAAGATTCTATAGTTCAAATATTATGAATAGACTAAGACAATGATAACTGGGATTGATCTATGTAGTAAAAGGTCATAAGTTATTTTATATAATCTTTTGGACCATTCAGCTTCCTCATCTCGACTGCTGCTGTCGGCTTGGTACCGTTCTTTTCTAAAAAAAATGCGGATAGGCAGTAATGGCAGCTGACGCTTTGTTCATATTTTCCTCGAAGTCGATATACAATTTCAACGACTTTGTTCTCAACCACATTTTCTTTTATGTTGCCAAATTTTTATTAAGTTATAGAATAGTATTTAAATTTTTATAATCAATCTTTTTTTACGGGACCTTTGTTTGTAACTATGAAGATATGTTTTGCGCCTTCTTTTCTACCGTAATGCACTTTTTATTTAAAATTTAGAACTTTCTTCGAGACCAATTATTAACAATTATTCCTATCTGGAAGATTTAGGTTGTTTCAATATGCATGCCACGTTCGAAAAGCATGAATTGAAAGATAGATAGAAGACGCGGTCGGTGAAACAGTTTTTTCGTTTACATAGATGATGGTAAAGTGATGATGTTGATCAACCCGAGCGAGTAATGCCGAGTTTACATAGCCATTCTATTAATTCAGTCCTTGTCAGCGGAAGAATTCAATACCGTTCTAGGTGGTATTTTGGCTTAGATGTCAATTTTTTATTTTATTTTATTTAGCCCGAGAATAATATGAATCGAACCGACTTTATTCCATGTACAATATCTCGTAAAGGTCATTTTTTAATAAATGAACAGAACGTACTCTTGAACAAGGTATGTACAATTTATCATGATTAAATACATCTATTCGAAGACCAATAACAATGTTGCTGAATAAATAAGAGATCTTACAGGCAGAATTTTGAAGCCAATACTGGGTGTAACAAGAGTGCGTAAATACATATAGTATTTAGACCTGAAAAGCCGAAAACGAATCTAAATCTGAAGATCCTGAATTAGTAAGTTTCCAGACCGCCTAGTCAGATTCACTAGACCTAAAATGGGTCTAATATTTCTGTCTCGAACATAGGACCTTGAGGTTCAAAATGAGGTAAGCTAACACCACCTTCAACCTGAAATCGTACTTTTTGGCATAACTAACAATTTGAGGCTGTGTGGTGTTAACTTATTCGAACTTTCCTATCCTATAATCTTAATATCAACCTCAATGACCTCCTCTAGACTTACTAGGTCCAAATCGGAGCTTAATTTTCGACTTGGGAAAATCGAACTGTTGCCAACATTGTGTCTCGGCGGCAAACCAACAGAATTTATCGACCCAGTACTTGTTTCTATCCCAGTACCTAAGGCCCGTATCTATAGTCAATATTTCGTTTTAAGAATGATCTTAAGTAACCCTAGCGGTCTATTTCTCTGGGCATTATATCAAGGTCCACGCGGGGTATTTGGGCTCCCAGTTTGCTGTTAATCATTTGTTTATGATTAATTTCTAAACGTCAAAATCTAAATAAGTTGTTTATAATGAAATAAATTAAAATTTTGTTGTCGTTTCCGAGTAGAACATCGTAGCAACAAGTAAATAGGTGAGATATGTTATATGATAAAATTCCTTCTTTTTAAAATTCGTTGCCATTTTTGGTAGCCCGCATGAAACAATTAGGATTATGGGGAATTGTAGTAACCTCTCTAGGGTGATTCACACGGACAAGGACCCGAAGCGATGAAATTCCGCACCCAAAAATCAAATCACAGAAAATACTGTCACTAAATATTTGAGTGATTTGAAGACTTCCGATGAAATCTCGGTTATTGCGGAGCCGAATATTTCGGTTATTCTCTCAAAAATCAATAAAATAAAAGTAAATGTAAATACTGACAGGCTGGTCGAAGTCTCATGGCCTTTGGCGATCGTGCTGTAGCTCTTACCTTATGGAAAAGAAACCATTGAACTCGGAATGGTTATTATTTATTATTAAGATTAAATATTAACTATTCATCATCCATAGTGCATGCTATTAGAAAACGATAGTAACTGTTTGGGAGATTATCCTTCGAAATAGTTATGAAAATCAGTAGTGTGTAACAGTAACTACTAAGAGATTATTATTCACGGTAGTTACTACTGAACGTCAGTAGTAATTATTATTAATGGTAAACAGTAACTGTTCGAGACATTTTTATTAACAACAGTAAGATAGTGTTATTCAGAAAGTTATTATGCGGCGCAGTTATAGTTTAAATTTAATGATTACTTTTAGAAAAAAAAAACAAAGGATTTGGGTGTATTTATCATGTGGCTCAAACTATTTTGGGCCTTTAAGGAGGAATGAAACAGGCTATTTGAATGGTTACTTTGTCACACGAAAGTGTTCGAAATCCAATCTCTCGGTGCTGTTAATGTTTTTCATATTTCATGAGAACATCGAAACTCGTCGATCTCTGTATCGGTGTGAATGAAAAAATATAAATTATGCCGAGTCTCACCTACCTACCAGGTTAGGTGATCTTGTTGTTAACGCAAGTCACGAATTTCCTCAAAGGAAGTAATTAGGATTGTTTGTAGAGAATGCCAAGAATATGAAAGTCCAAACAAAAGGGCAGACAATAGGTAATTACAGTTATACGTATGTACTTCCATTTAAGGGAGTATTATCCGGTGTCTGGTGAGTTGTTAGGCGAATGCACCAATCACATGAGTCATACTCATTCGTACTAGCAACTAGATACAACAGTTTTTACAACAAATGCTCAAAGAAAAGGCCGTTTGGCCCCTTTTTTTTACGAGAGATGACACTGTTAACTTGCCTCAAAAATATTATTAAATAGGTTTCCCTTTCCTTGAAAATATTTTAGATGCCTATGACGTTGCTATAATAAACTTTTAGATAACTTTATAGTCATTTGTCTAAAAATAATATTTTAAGGTGCTCTCTGGTGACACATAGCGGGGAATTTTGGAATTTGTTACAGAACATTTATATTCGTTTTAGTAAATTAAAGTTTGAAAAATTAGTGAAAAATGAAAAGAAATATTTTCAAGTCACTATTTTTTTACGTTGTTTTATTCAAATAATTTTGGTGCAAACTATAGTGACAACCTTCGTGATTATAAATACATATATATATTTTTTAATTTCTGATCAAAATAAAACTTATACTCGTTGGAATCATCAGTTTAAAGAATTAGGCACCATTCGGATTTAAGTGCTTTAATTCCTAAAATATTAATTTTTTTCAGCTAAATTTTCAAAATAACATGTTAAAAAGTCAATAAATATATGATAAAAACATTCAAGTTGCAGGTTTTTTTTTAATAAAAATTACCTATTTTGGGAACCTTTAAATAAGAATATTCTCTTAGTTGAAAAGGCCAGCTAGTTTGTTCTTTTGAATTGGTACTCGCTTCAAATCTCTTTCTTCGAGTTATTAAATCCGGCGGTCGGTCGTTCTCATCAATGGTCGATCGAGTGTTCAATCGAGGACGAACCTTAAATGGATTTATTCCCAGATCTGACTTAGTAATAATGGAAGTGATCAAAAAAAAAGGGAAGCACATGATTTCATTAGGTTCATTCTCTGCCAGACTGACTGGGGGGAGGGAGGGGGTTGCTAAAAAAATGGCCGTCTTATGTAAACGTATTCCGGTGACTATTAGATTCGCCTGTGCGTCTTCTAGACTGCTGCGAATACTTTCTTTATGGCAGTAGACCTCATGGATCCCGATGCTTTTTGCTTTTTTTTCCCCGATGCAAATTGTCATTTATACGCGGCTTGTGTAGAAGTTTACTCTGTACGTGTGAATAGACCTCAATTGCTAGATTATACAAACTATAATCGTATTATCTCATTCCCATTTACAACCTTGATAATCAACATAGACTACATAGACCTAAGTAGATGGAGATGGAACTATCAAATTGTACACCGTTTCTATTGGACGTTGATTATCCTATATTAGTCGTATCATATTTTTTTATTTCTACTCGAGTCTTAAATTAAATTTTAGTTTGATCCTACATCTTTCGAAGATAAGTCTCGAGGACTAAAATTTGATTTTGAGATATGATCTGGTTTGTAAATTAAAGTCTACGTTGAGCCTCAATTTGGTACAAA